TCCGTCCAGTGTAGTTTAAGTAGGCAAATACCGATGTGATCAGACAATCGAAGTCCGAAATCGATTAAAATCACTTTCACTTAAACCTCACACAAACATTTGCCAGATCCAGTAAACGTATACTTCACAAGTGGACTGATGTCCGGGGCATTTGTTGGTCAAATTAACGACCTCGCTAGGAGTCATTTGCGGTGGTTTTGGATGAGTTTTGAAGTCTCCACAGGCAGCTTTGCTAGCGTGTCTTGGTTAATAACTAAATAATTCACGTTATTTCTCGCGTTCACACCACCCAGCGAGGTCGTGATGTCCGTGTGTGGAGGTTTGTGGCAGTCTTGCTCATGTGATGTCATCATGTCCGTTGTGGGTGGGCAGGGAACGCGGTAGATCGCTTGCGCAAGTTCTAATCAAGTGACGTTTTCAGCTGTCAAAACTAACTTCAATCAAAATCAGCTTTTCTTGGTAAAGATTACTCGTGACTGCGAACGCAGTCACTTGCAAATCTCCTAAGTTCTTTTAACCCATTTTAATCGATTAGGGATGTCTTTCTAGGCAACAAGTGTTAGACATCAAAGTCAAGATACTAACGAGATTTTATAATGTGAGTCAGTGTTTCAGTCTACACGATAACTTCTTTCATTTCGACAATTCTTGGAAAAAAAAGTCACACATGAGTCATGCGAGCATCATATCTGCTTGATGGATTTTCATTAAGAAAAATTGATTTTATCGATTTGCAATGCTCTCGAATGAGAATTCAACTACAAATAAAATCAATTCTTGAGCCTAAAGGTTGTTTGATCACTGACCGATTCGTTGGTTGAATGTCCTTGACAGGCATTGGAACGACAAGCACACTTAAAGTGAAAAATGAACCAATGGGCTGAGACCAGGGAGGGCGGTCAATATGAAAATGGCGCTAACGGCAGATAAGATTCCAACGAGGGGAAATATCGATTTGGTTGCACCAAACCGAGTATGATATCTTCCCAACACGTCACAGATTTAGTCAACCACTAGGACTCAATTGAGCCTCTAAACGAAGAGAGGAATTCTGGGAGGGAAGCTTTCAGAAGCTGGCAACCTAGGCGCGTTAGACGTACAAAAAAAAGAAACGTGAAACGTACAACGACTTTTGTATTAGCAAACCTAGAAGTCGAAGACACAAAAAAAGCTCCACAGACACTGGTACAATAAACAAAAAAGGTGCACAACCGTTAGGGGGGTCGTTAGACCGACAACAACCATGAGAAAGTAGAGACGTCGAGAGTGGAACTCATTTGCGATCGTTAGACGTCGTCGGCGCTTCAAGTTCGGTGGGGTCGGGCAAGCGGTACGTGATGTCCTCCCAGGGGTGGCGGTAGAGGCCCTGACGAAGACGGCGCTGGTCCAAGAAGTGCCCTGCAATACCACGGAAACACGGTCAATTTTTAAGTGCAACACGACCTCACGACAAACCAATCATCGTGGAGATTTCGGACGCTTCGAGCCAACACAAACAGACCGTTGAGGGTGCCGATTTAGTTATTAACAAAGACACGGAAGCAAAGCTGCGTGTGGAGACTTCAAACCTCATCCAAAACCACAGCAAATGACTCCTAGCGAGATCGCTAATTTGACCAACAAATGCCCCGGACATCAGTCCACTTGTGAAGTATACGTTTACTGGATCTTGCAAATGTTTGTGTGAGGTTTAGGTGAAAGTGATTTTAATCGATTTCGGACTTCGATTGTCTGATCACATCGGTATTTGCCTACTTAAACTACACTGGACGGAGATCGCGGAAACGCAACAGCTGATTGGATGTTACTACGTAATTGTGAATTTTGAGCAAAACAGTATAACTGAACTTGTAAAAGTACAAATAACCTGATAAGTGGAATGAGAGGCGAAGGCGGAACGCACAAAAAGGGTGTGTGAACGCACGGTTACGACGCATCGATGTGGACATTGGTAAAAAAAGTGCCCAGTCGATTCCGAGTGCAACATGACCTCACGACGAACCAATCATCGTGGAGATTTCGGATGAACCACTTACCAATGAAACCGATGCTTCGAGCCAACACAAACAGACCGTTGAGGGTGCCGATTTGGATGAACTCGTCGGCCTCCTGTCGCGTGAAACATCCACAGTGACGAAGCAGGTCCACCATCGTCACGCCGATCAGACCGTCCACGTTGAGAATCAGAGTTGGACGCTGAAAGGCAAACGCGTCGACAAAGACGTCAACTTTGTGGTTAGTCCTGATGGTCTCACACAGACCGCATGCCGAATTTCGATGGCAGTGGTTGTGAAATAACCACGACAACAAAGTGAGCTTGAAGTGTGCGCGAACCTCTGGAGAGTGACTTGCGCCTACACAATCTGGAACTGACATGTTCAAACCACCCGCATCAACCGTGACCTATGCGTCGAGTGGGACAAATATTTGTGGATTTCGGCGTTGCCGCACATCGACTGCTGGTTCTGTGGCAACTGCACAAGGTGATCATTGTTGCTTGGAGCGTCAACAAAAGCAGCAAGCGAATGAATCCAAGAACGGCCAACGCCAACAACTCGCTACCAAATGGCGAGAGGATCCAAACTGGCAACATGCGTGTGCGCAATCAACAGAAACCATGCCAACTCATGCAAAAATAGACATGTCTTGGACGTTAACGCAGCCGCTGTGGCTTTTAAAAGTTCATAGGAATTTAATTCTAGGTCTTGCAAAAATGGCGATTAATGCAGCAGGTAAAAGTACACAATCGAGGCGTTCCCATGAATGTACCATCAAAGTGTTCTTGCCGCACTGCGTTTCATGTGCGAAATTCGGGAAGAAACGAGAAGAATGTTTGCAGTTAGACGCGGACAGGCGTGAGGGTGCTTAGTCGAAGACACCCTTGGTTGGCGGTCTGGTGAACGCTGGCGATCATACTACTGCGATGGATGTTCAGTAGGCTTGTGTGTCGATACTCGTCATGGTGATTCTACATCGTAGGAGCCTGCATTTGCGGAATCAGCAGCAAATTGCGTATTCCACAGCGCTGGTTACCAAGTTGACGACTAGTCACGTTCACTTTAATTGTTCACCAATATGACCAATCATTGGTGTTTACTCTCCTGGAAATCGCGTTGTTTTACGAGGCTGGTTTGCGCGTTGAGCGCCATTTCAAATCCGTTTACTCTGGGTCATCCACTTTGGAAATCACGAGTCCCTCACCTCAGAATGTGCACATGCGGTCTACATGACGATTCCATTATCGATTTCGATGGTTACACCTAAGCAAGACATCCAGGTTCTG